AAGTGGAATTTTGGTAGTATATTTCGATGATTGTTTTATGATTGAATTTAAATGTTTTAATTTAAATTTTTGAAACAAACTTTTAAGGGTTTTCAAAAGAAAAATTATTTTAAAAGTAATGTGACATCTATATCTCGTAATACAGAAAGGTATACGGGAGATGAGTGTTACATCTAAGAAAAATTGTTTTTTTTTTAGATTTTGTTAGTAGGCGACAACAATAGTCTTGGTGTTAGTTGACACTGTGGATTTTTCTTTATTCTTTATTTTTATCTTGCATTTTTATTTTCTAATAATTTTAATTTTACGATATGATTTTCTCTGTTTTCATGGCAAGTTTTCTTGTCTTTTGAAGCATTTTTCAGTTTTATTTTCTAGTCGTTTGGTCCTTTTTGTCGTTTATTTTTCTCGTTGTTGGACTTGACGTCGACGCGACTGATCAAGATGGCGCTAATTTGTTATCCCGTTGTTCTTCCATGTTTTGGACCCTCAAGTTAGATTTGGATACACAACATGCATTCGTATATGGTTTTCTTACGATGCTTGGTTTTGTTTTACGTTTTTCGGTAGTCTTTCAATAATTTTATCATCTATTGTGGTTCGTTTGTTATAGTCTTGTAGCAGTCAAATTTGTTCATATTTACCTAATGTTCAAGATTTTTTGAATGGATTTTTCATCTTTGCATTGTATGGTCCATATATGATTTTAAGTGGTTAGATTTTTGTCTCAATGGTTATATAATAATATTCTAATTATATGTTTAGCTTACGATTCTAATTGTAAATCCTTATCGTAATTTTAGATTTTTTTTAAAAAAAAATTAGCTATTTTTATGTAAAAAAATATAATTAAAGAAAAAGCTATCTCTAAGTACTAGGTTTTTATTAATTGATAATCATAATGCGTATGATATATAGATACCCAAAAAAGGGGGAGGGGAACAGATAAAGAGGGGTTTATATGTGATATTTAGTCTAATATGTGTGTTATACATGCATTGCACTTTATCTTTATTTTAATTTTTTAATTATCGGAGGTCTTCCACGGAAGCTGCTCTCAACCTGGAGTTGGGGGCAGCCTACTATCCTACCTCCCCTTATCCCATTACATATGAGAATAGGGTTTTGTTGTTGTTGTTGTTGTAGTAGTGACATATAATATCATCTTTTAATCAAATCAAATTAAAGAAAAATGTTCTACCTATGATGGGAAGAAATCGAACCTTAGCTCCCTTGCGTATGAGTTTAAGTACTCAATAACTAAGTTAGGTTAGCATTTCATTATCGTTTCACTAAATTTGATATTGGTAATTTATTTTTAGAATAATTTTTAGTTTATTAAAAATATATATCTTACAAATATAATTGTTTGAATTTAAATTTTTAAAAAATAATACTTTTTTATCACTAAAGTTAGTCAATGAGTTCCTTAAAATTATATTAAAAAATTAATGTTTAACCATTAAATTAATTTGTGCAATTATTTTATGTTTAATCAAACTAATATTTAATTTAAATTATGATTAATTTTTTTCTTCATTAAAAAATAAAATAAAATAATTGCTTGTTTTTGTAAAAACAATACTATATTAATGAAATTAAATTTGGTTAATAATATTATTTGGTTTTTACCAATTAAGAGGATAAAATCACAAAATTAATTTTTAGACTTTTTTTTTTTAATTCTAGATTAGGAGGAGTCTATGAACTTTAGTTGAAGCCCTCAAGACCTGTACGGCAACTACAATAAAGGGACTGGATGAGGATGGTGGTGAGAGGAGATGAAGTGCATCGCTACTATCACTATAAATTATTACTCACTATTATTTTTTATAAATTATATCAATTTAATATAAAAATAGATAAGTAATAGAAATTAATTATGTAATTATATTATAATTTTTAACTGTTATGTCACTTTATCCGTTAAATATTAATGATTAGAAGCTTGATTGAAAGTATTAAAATAATTAAACAATCTAATTAATAAAATTAATAGATAAACGATAAAGTTATTTATATTTAAGTGGTCACGACTCACGAGTAAACTTCGTGGTGTTAAAAGAATATTATTTTCGGAAGATTTGTAAAATTGTTGCAACTTATAATAGCTTATAAGAAAGAAGAAAAACAATTGGGAGGTTTGAATTTGAGGAATGTCCATCTCAACGTGTTTTGTTATTTTATAGAAACATTGATATCAATCAACATCAAATTGGGTTTGCAATTCGCAAATTTCACATATCACAGTCATGATTCACGACACTTCCTCACCTCTCAACTTGAAACTTGAAAAATGAAAGAACACATGTAAGAAAATAAAATAAATGTTGGCTTTCATATGATAATGACGGTCCAAATTTAGTTTTATATATGATCTACTGATCAATATTGCTTGGTTAATTAGGATCTAAGATAACATAGGATATTTTCTTAATATGATTGTTCTATTTTGATAGTAGCTAATATAACGTATCAGATAAACTTGTTAAAGTTTATGTTGACTCCTAAACATGAACATTAGATCAATAAAATTTAAAAGTTTTTAATAATCGGGCTTAATTTAAATATAAAAATACTCTAATAAGGGATCGATATAGTGAGTGAGATTAAGAATATAATATTTAATCTAGTGAGATGAAACATTATGTACTTTGAACTTAATGAGTGGTATCAATAATAAAACGAATAATATTTTCTTTAAAAAAATTAAATTTAAACAACTACTTGTATGTTCACATGATATGTATATATCAACAACATGTTTAGAAAATATCATATTGTCATCAATAACTGAGATAATCGAGTAGAGAACAACTTGTCATCCGTAACTTCTGTCTTCATTAGGGCACATTAATTAAGTAGGGACTTATAATTCTGAATTAACAGTCAACTTGAGAACTAACACATGCAACAACCTTTGGTCTCGGTCTGGTGTCCAACTTATTTAATGTGAGATTCTCAAGGCAGGCATGAACTGAACCCGAGCCACCTAAGCTCGTCCTTGCCACTCATCCTGCCGTCCACCGGAAAACATGCTACGAGACCTTAAATTTAGGGTCTCTGAGTCAGAGGTTGACCTAACAATTTATATACGTTTTAATGTATCATAATGGTGTTTAAAATATTATAAATTTCATATAATTTTGTATATATTTAAATAGTTTATTTTAAACCTAACCACAAAATGGAACTCACATTGCCCCATATGGTCATATAGAAAAAGAAAGTATAACTAACTGAGATACATGCAAGTAGATGTCATTTGCTTCTTCTTTTTTTATTCCTTCAATTTTTAAATATTGATTTTTATAATACTTAAATATCTCTTTTTTATCCACATGAAACAAAGAATTATTAAACAAATGCATGCAGGGGCAGGGCATGGTTTGACTCCTTGCTTTCTTCGTTATCGATGTCTCTTTCCTTAAACATCCCCGTGAAAGATGTTAACCGTTGCAAGAGTATTTTATTATATAGAGTTTTCCATCATCAAAGTTGGTCCATGAAAATATTCAGTGATATTCAAGTTTTGGTTCTTTATAATATTTATAGAGTTTTTATTTATTTGAAGAATAAAAAAATATTATTTATCTTATAATTGATAAACTCCCAACACAGGATATCGTCTTCTCAAGATGTTTAGTTCTGAGATTTTGTTTCTCTTTTATCAAGAAATCTCTCATGAAAAGTCTTTGAAATATTATTCTTGAATCGTAATATGAAACTTTGAGTATATGATAATTCGAAGGCTTACTAAAAAAATTGAAATTCGTTCAACAATAGTAATTGATACTCAACTAAATGGATGAATTCATATTAACAACTTATATAGGATGATATTTATGGTGAACTTTTGAAGAGCCGTTAAAATAAGAAAGGATGGACATTGGACAATGCAGGAGACATTAGACGGATGTGAAGTGTTGGACTTAAAAAGAATGGAAGATGAAAATTAGGAGGGTGTTTGTCGATCGAAATGAGTGAATTGAGTTGCAGCATATCTCCAACGTACGGTGGTTTTTGTTTATTTATGTAGAGAATACATTGAATGAGGGAGTTTAAAATTTTGATGAGTAGTGAGTTGGGAGTGTCAGGTGTCGCCCCCATTCAGCCGTGATAAATTTGATAATGAAATAACTACGGAGAGAAGGAAATCCTCGTTACCATTATGACAGTGACTGAACACAGTTAAAGTAGATTATGTGGGGGTGTCTGTTTCTGAACAATTCAGAGCCAACCCACCACAAACACTAATAAATAAATCTAGTCAGGATCGTACAATATAAAAGGCCGAAGAAAGGTCAACCGTAATTAATGTTGAACCCACAAGATATTTACTTTTACAACTTCACAAGATTTTTTTTTCTTACTCACCAACCTCTCATATTGATTTAATATACGTCATTAGTATTCTTTATTTTACATATTTAAGATTTTTTTCTCTTTTAATAAATTTATTATGGAAATAATAATAAAATTTTATACTATTTTACAATTTTTTATGTTTCTCATTTAAGTTTAATTTTATAGACATTTTTCTAATTGATATTTATTTTAATTTTTTCTCATGGAATAGATAGGATATTGATATAGCGATTCATTGTCTTTTTAGATAGTTTTATGTTGAGCATATTTTTTTAATTGACAAGTAATTTTGATTATTTTTAACTTATTAATTTCGATTCTTTCTAAAGATTTAAGTTTAAATATATTGAATAAACCTATTGAATATTTTTTTTATAATTTTTTTTTTATTGTTTGAGGAGTGTGGAACCTGCAAGCTTCCATGATGTCGGCCTAGCCTGATAAAGTTCACGGCTTACACGTTTAAGCCGGATTTGAAGCTGCTGAACCGGGTTTCAATTTTGCAGAATGAAAATGAAGGGATGAGCAATTGAAAACAAGAGGGTATTTTGAAGATAATTTCCATACAAATATAATCAACACGGTAAATGTGTTTTAAGGCAGGCTAGGTTCACTAAATAAAGAGGATCCAGATGACACGTTGACTCTTTGATTTATACATTAATTTAAAGACCAAAGCCCGAACGGAATGAAGCCATTCTATTGCATACATACCAGCATATCAACCCATAGCATACTTCTGGGTCCAGCTCCGAGCAGTCGTTTCGTAGTTGCTCCTGTCGGTCTTGTACATGTGAGCAATCTCGGGCACCAATGGGTCATCAGGATTTGGATCCGTTAAGAGTGAGCAGATTGAGAGCAAGACCTGGAGTCATAACAAAAATAAGAACATGTCTCATATCTAGATGACAGTAAAACCAAGGCAAGCTAATGTTACATGATAATAAGAAAAAGCTAAATTAGGGTGACCAGATATGGTGAATTGAACAAATAGCCTTGGATATGGTGAGGGCGGGGCTCCATTGCTCCTTCAAAATATCAAGGCAGATGCTACCATTGCTGTTAATATTAGGGTGAAAGACCTTTGTCCTGAACGAAACCTAAATGGAAGGGAAAAATTAGTTAAGAAAAACTACTAAGTGGCGGTAATGACAGCTGCTAAACAAGCATGTCATAAGGAGACATTAAGGTCAGAAAAGCATGAAATTTAGCAGAGTCTATCTCAGCATAGACAAATCATCATCCACCAGTTACCATAAATTTCTCTTCAAAAATAAGTTTGATGATATTGTATATTTAATATATGAACATAGACATTATCAAATAAAATTATAAATATATTCTTGTAGCGTCCATACACTATATTTTGTTTAGCCAAGAGGTATATAGTAAATGTGAGGAGCCATAACAAAATATCCATATGCGTGTAACAGGGAAGGCTTTCCTGATACTGCTTAGTAAAGTATAAACAACAATAAATCATGTACAATTTGGCACTGAAAACCACCTAAAAATAACCATTACATACCAAACATGCATGTGCATAAATTTATGCCATATGAAGATTAAAAAAGAAAATAATTTGCAACATAATAAGATAACAAAATCTAGAAGTAATCAAGTGGAAAAAGCATTTACTCATTTCGATGCAAAGCAATATTTGCACAAGCCAAAATGGCTAAATAACATGAAGGCTTTAAACATTTATGCAATTACATATCACCGCATAACGTTGAAATAAAAAATGGGAAAAGGCAGGAGCATACACCACATTAGGAAACAACTGTATCAGATTTTTGAGGAGATAAAAGTCATGTCTACAACAATTGCACATAAAATGATAAAAAAATTGGCCTGAAGTACATGCAGCACTATGCTATCTTCTTCCATATGCTTAAGAGACATCGTGGCATGTTTTTAGAAAATAAAAGACGATCAACTACAGTTTAATACATAGCCAAGAAAGGTACAAATACAAAATATACAGTGAAGCGGGAAAGAATAAAAACTAAAATGGTTAGGGAATACAATCAAGCACCTTGGGTGGTTTAAATGGATAGTCTGGAGGGAAATGAATGGTGACTAGAAACACTCCACCAGTATATGGACTGTCTGGAGGACCCATAATAGTTGCTTGCCAATGAAACATGTCTTCAGCAACAGGACCTGATTCCATCAATTAGAAAAAGAGGTAAAACAACAGTTAGATGGAATACCAGATCTGCAAGCGACATCATCAAAATATTTTTCTAATAAAATCTCACATTTGCCTTCAGAAAATATAACATGTTGCACTCCTAAACTATTTTAGAACATTTAACAGAAATGGTGATGCAATGCCGAGTTCTTACATGGACATAATGCAATACTCGGAAGGCCGGAAGAATTCTTCAGCAAAACATGCTAACCATTTCCAAGCAACTTGAATTAAAGTATAACTAATTCGAATGAAAGCCTACCTAATAAACAAAAAAAATGGATATGAATAGTTTGAACCAATGAAATCATCATGGTCAAAAGTATACCCCCAATAATTAGTATGAATACATTGTTTACAGTTCATAATTCAAACAAGCAACAAATATGATCTAATTTAATGATTTAGAAAATAAAAACAGAAAGCATATATAAAAAAATCATTAAAAAAACGAAGACAAAAGTTTCCTGTAAACAAATAAAGATGATGAGAAAAAGCACAAGAAATAAACAAAACGAGGCGCGAAACAGGGAAAAAAGAGACAGAATAATCGAACCTGCGCCGCCAGAGGTAGGAGGATCTTTCTGGAGATCCTTGAGCTCCTTCAAGATCCGCTTTGAAGCCATCACCTAAAACCCTAAAATAAACAATTTTTTTTATTGAAGTAAAAGAAAAAGAAGAAATTCCAACCTATATCGCTTTCCCTTCAACGAAGGTAGATTGGAAAACATCAAAATTGAAGAGGCAATTGGTGAAATTGGAGGGAAATAAGTACCTGCGAGATCCTCCTGTCCTGCGCTGTCGTGGGTTATAGTCGCTGAAAATAGCGTAAGAAAAAGCAACCGTAGGAAAAATAATTTCATTAAAAACAAAGGTATAATACCAAAATCAGTCCCTTAACATTTAACTGATTAATCATTTTAATCCTTATTCCTTTTTAACAATTTAGCCAGTATCATTTTAATTTTGGTCAAATTAATAAAATTTAATGACTATTTTGTTTTAACACATTTTAGTCCTTCATCCTATTAATTTGTTTTTGCTACCGTCTCAAATATTGACGCGCGACCTCGTTCAAATGTCGGAGTTTCTGCTTATAGTAATGACTTGTAATTTTAATCTTAAAAAACTTAGTCAGACCCATTCCCAACTATCAGAGTGGCGCAGCGGAAGCGTGGTGGGCCCATAACCCACAGGTCCCAGGATCGAAACCTGGCTCTGATAATATTTATGTTTAGCTGGTCGTTATTTTTTTGCTTCGTTTCTCCAGGTAATGATTAAATGCATACCGAAAAGGCTCTAAAAAATATCTATTCTAATCACTTCTTTTTGCAACATTGTCAACTTTCATTTCCATAGTCCATCACACATACATTTTGTAGTTAAAAGAACAACTAATGTCACTGCTAGTCTGCTACTATGGAGAAACACTAAAACAGATCTCCACTTCCAGGAATTTACAGTTCCATGATCACTTGGGAGGCACAGACAGTGATCAGGTCTCTTATTATTAGCCTACCATCATATAAATAATTGAATACAAAGTAACAGATTCTATTCTTCTAGTTGAACTAAGGGTTTTTTATTTGCATTATTCGTCGTCCTTAACTTGAAGGGACAACCGAGAGTTCCAGACGTCCAGTCCATTCCTCACCTGTCTTCAATGTTATTGATTTTTCAACTGCTGCCCCCATTGACACAGAGCATCTGTTTGTATTCTTCATCCCCAAAATCAGCTATGGCTTTGGATTTCTTCTCCCATAGATTCCATACACCTGAAGAAATGCAAAAGAACTTAACATCAAGGCCGGTGTTTTTGGTTCGCTCATGCGGATGCCATTCATTAACACATGTTTAGATTGAATTGAAGAGGTTTCAAAAACTTAGCAACATCTGGAAGGCCTTCTTTCCGTATAAAAGAGGTCTGTTTTCTTTCGTGGTCAGATATCGCTGTGACATCTCTTGAGCCAAGATAAACTCTATCAACCTGCAATTTGGAATGCAATAATTAAGGCTTAAACATTTACTCCATCTACATGCAAAATAGTTTATCGACTGAACCACAACACTTCGAGGGTTCCAAATTTCGAGACATTCAAAGGAGGGCGCTTTACCTCGGATTCAAATGTTAATGCATCTCCTTGTTCGGTGAACCGCTCCCTTTGGCATAGGTTGTCAAGATAGTCAAGAGTCTCCAATCCCTCTATCCTCACTTCACTGTTAATTAGTATACAAGAAAGAATATCCATTAATGTCAAGAGCTTAATGTTTCCTATTGATTGAACGCGCTTTACTTTCTTTACCATGAGTAAAATTCGAGGAGTAATGGTCAAAGGACTTGAAAGATAGAAATATATGTACCTGATATCAGAGACGGAGAAATATGTGTGATAAGCAATTGAGAAACTAAAAGGCTTGGAATTGATGTTCCTGATTCGTGATATCAAGCTTAGATTTCCATCTGTTGTCAAATATACTCGAAGCGAAATTCGAAACTGGAAAGGTATAAACTAGTAATCAAAATACATACATAATTAGAAATAAACAAGTTTTATAGCGGAAGATAACTATTCCTAATCTTATATAGGCCTCACCTGTGTGGCCAGATCTTCAAATCATTTGGCTTTAGAAGTAAATCGATATAGGCCTTTCCATTGTTATCATTTGGATGCAAAGGTGGTGGATTCTCATCAATGATCCAAGTCCTGTTCCGGGCAAAACCGTGTTGCTCGAGTGATCCTCGCTGACCAAACTAACAAATTCAAAAGAAAACACATCAACCAGATGCATACAGACAGAGAAAATTGATGCATATAAGCACTGAATCCTAAATACCTGTGGGAAACATATAGGTATCCCTCCTCGAACCGCATACGGTGGCTTTAAAATTGCCTGCAACACAAAAATTGGGTCAGATGACAATACAAATACTATGACTTAAGACTGCAGATTTGAATGTTACCTTGCTACTTGTGAATAGCAATTCTTCACCTCAGTCGGTCCTCCATGAAAGAACCTGTCCTCCATGCAAGCTAACCTGAATAGATTGCAGTTTGATCGAGAGGGTAAATGACAACTAGAATCAAGCATCTACTGAGTTTTAAATTGTTCTTCAACCTGTTCAATCAATATTCCAGATACCTTAAAAACAATGTAAAAGACTAGATTACAAGTTAAAAAGATTCTGACCCTTGCAGATGCTCCTCGAGAATTCCGAAGCAGAACCTGATCAGTTCCATTTCTATCCTTTGTGACTTCAACAGCTGCCCCAGAATTATTCATAGTTACACGGTAGTAAGGACACGTAAGAGTAACGATATCTCTTTCTGTTATATCTTAAGAGAAAAAAAACAAAAGTTCTTTATAAACAAGCAGTTGCAAGCAGTTGCCAGTGCCCTTCACACATTCTAGTGAAAAAATCCAAAATTTTCTCGTGAAAATTCCAACTACTACTGCAACTGCCTCAAAACAGGACAAAATTCAAGGGGAGGGAGAAACTAAAAAGAAAGAAAAAAACCCTAATCTAGAACAACTTCCCAGACAACCGAGCTGTCTTAAAACTTGAAAGAACCGACCAAAATCGGTTTCAGAGACAACCAAAATTATTGTTGGACTCGTTCTATTCTCCAGACAAAACCGTTTACGATAGAAACAGTTTAAAATTGTGTAGGGAAGTTTGAAAGCAGGGAGAAGGAGGTCAAGTCAAGAACAAATGCCAAGTTCTTTGGAGAAAGATTTGTCTGCAAATTTGAGCTTGACCTTTTCGTTTAATTTGAAGGCTCGGATTTTTGGAAGAGATCATATGGGTGATGCTGAGGAAGGCGACTGACTCATTATTTAATTAGCATTTATGTGATTTTTTAAGGTAAAAGTTTACGCTAAAGGGACAAACTTTCGGCTTGGATCGGTGGTGGTGGCTTCCAGACATGATGTAGACTCTACTGTCTGAGCCTACGACCCTGAATATAACTGAATTAACGACCCACGAAAAAGTATTAGTAAACAGAATATTATGTTAAAAGAAGAAAAGAAGCTAGGAAAGGAATGATTTTCTTATTCTTAGTGCTGCAAACAACCCAGATTCAGTGGATTTAAGTTTAACTGAAAGAATAAAATCTTAGGGGTTTCTTTATTTCATTCCTTGCTTGTTTTCAACAAAATCATCATTAATGGTAGGGAAAGTTTTGAAAGTCGAATCAAAACCAATCTTAAAATGGGTGGGTTAGGTTAGTCCAAGGTAGGTTCTTTGTTTCTCTGTTGTTTACAGTGAAAACCAACGTTTGATGTATCAAACGAAAGATGACAATGTTGATTACATTTGAGTGGTTAGTAGTTACTAGTTAGATGCTCTTTGATCAAAGTCTAAATTTTGAATTTTATGGATAAAAGAAAGATAAGTTTAGAAAATTTTGATTCGGTTAAGAGTTCAACTCGAATTATTTTTAATATAGTTAGAATTCACATGACCATTGCATGTCGGTCGTATTAAAACAAAGACAGTTTTATATATAAAAAGATAACATGCCAAACGATGTATTGCATTGAAATTTGAAGTCTTTTTGCTCCGGTTAGTCTAGGGTGTTCACCCTATTGGCTAATGCCATCTTTGGGCAGAAATCTCATGCCTTGTAATTCAAGGTCAAGAAAGATCAACCAGTGGCAGGGCTTTGTTGCAAAGATCACTTCTTTTCAGCATCAAGTTCATATTGATTCAGCTTGACATCGATCTTTAAACAACTAATTATTCGATCTAATTGAGTCTAGTGACAAAATTCGAGTTAACCGAGTTTACGAATATCGTTTTATTATTCAAATGTTAAGTCGAAACAAATGTATTTGTTCGAATTTATGTTCAAAAAACAATCAAATTACTTAATTAATGACCAAAACGAAATTTTAATCTTTAATTTTCTTTATTATTCAAAATTTATAAATCAAATTTAGCTCGAAATTAAAATTCTAAAAAGATTTTGAATCAATTCAAATAATTAAAAGTTAAAATATAAAATTTTAGTCGGCTACGCCATTTTGTGGGTAGAAATCACGTGCCCCATTACAGAGCATAGATGCTGTAGACACCCGTTTTTGTCCGGGTTTTTTTTTATCGTTATTTTATTATTATTATTATTATTTATTATTATTATGTTTATTAATTACATATTACATATTTTACAGGCCAAAGCCCAATATAACAGGGCCCAGCCAAGGCCCAACCAATACCCATCACTCAGCAGCCCGATTGCAAACCCTAACCTTAGGGTATCAACATCCCAGCGCCGCACCAACATAGACCATTCGATCTGGACCCATTCAACGGTCCAGATCGATGGTAAATAGGGTTTCACAACCCTAAGCCAATCCAGCCGTCGTGCCTCTTCAACGTTCCAGTAGCCGTTCAAGCCAACAGCCATCAAGCCACTGCCGCCAGTGAGTTCCAGTTTCCCAGTCGACGAGCCATCGTCGAAAGCTTCCCGAGCCGATCAGAGCCCATCCCTCAAGCAGTCAACAGTGACAACATACCAAATCAATCAGCAAATCAGAGAAAAAACCCAATAAAAAAACAAAAATAAATCTAAATAAAAAATCCCTATAATCCCGAAAATCCGGGATTCAATCACCCTAAATCAACAACCCATAATTTCCCTAAGCCTTAGGTACCATTATCACCGAAAGAACCCTTAATAATCCAACAGGGCAACCATAATGGGGGGAGAGGATTCGGTGAGAGCAACAGAGGGGAGAACGAAAAGAAAAATACAGAGAGAGCTTCGGGTGGGGGGCTCGAAACAAAGGAAAGCTCGAGAGGAAATAGAGATAGAGTGAGAGGCTTACCTT